GGCACTGGGCAGGAAAGGGTTAACATGAGGGGCAATCAAAGGGTTAACTGTGTGCTGTGTGTGTTTTTACTATGGGATGGTGTCTGTGTGCTTCACTGTAAGCACACTGCTTTGGATGGCTGTGCTGTGCACAGCCATCCAAAGCAGTGTGCCCGAGCTGACAGGTAGGAGAACTGCTAGTAAACAAAACAGTTCTCCTCTCCATTGGAGATTCTCGGTAAACACCGGGCGCCGGCGAGTAACCACCGTCCAGGACCCGGTGATTGACAGCCACAGCCGCGAATGGTGGTGTGTGCGCCCCCTACCCAGAAATGCAAAATCACTTATATATACGTGATTTTGCGCACCCGTGCTGCCCTGTAGCAGTATTTCTGCTATAGGGCAGTCAGGAAGCGGTTAAAGAATTAAAAGAATACATATTTCTTGCCATGAATATTAGAAAAACCCTACTCTAGAGTGCCCTCACCTGAGCTAAAACCCAGGCATTAGACATGTGCATGCTGGAAATTTTCATTTCTATTCAGATGCATTCGTTCACTGAAGAATTTCATTTTGTCATATATGTTATCTTGAAGTTATTTGTTTTCGTAGTTCATTTTGCATATTAATTGGTCCAGGTGGATTCAAAACAGTTTGCAGTTTACCACAAGATTGCTATATCTTCAATATATTTGAATTGGACGTATTTGGATCAGGTGGACTCAATATTTGTGGATGCTAGTCCAACCCAACAAGAGAAATGTCATCAGCTGATTGGACAATATCGACTGCCATCATATGTATCCAAATTCACAAATGGAATGAAATTCAGATCCTCTCTTGTTTCCGAATTGGAATTATCAAACAAATTCAAAAATTTAATTCATTTCCCCATGGGCCTGAACTATTATCGCATCATGTGATGTTATGCGAATTAAATGAATGAAACAACTGTACTTGTTAATTTTGTTATAACTTTTTTTTTGCTTGTTGATATTTGTTACTATGTCCATTCAGAGCTTTGTCTGAAAATGAAATGAAAATTTTAATTCGAATAACAAATCAAAATTAAATGCACATGTCTACCAGGCATAGATATGGTGGTCTTTGGATATCAAGAACATTGTTAAGGCTACATTCACACTGTTGCTGTGTGTTAACATGTATTAGTGGGGCCCGCTGTCAGTGTGTGCTGGGCTGTGCAGTGAGGGTGGGTGAGGCCAGGAGGTGGCAGTGGAGGGCCTGTGGAGGAGGAAGAAGAAGAGGATGAGGGCAGGGTGGACAGTGTGGAGGAGCTCCCCCAGCTCTTTGTTGCAGCTGCTGCCAGAGATCCTGGTGGAGATGGGATACAGGCGTAGCTATAGGTGAAACCTTGAGGGCTTTTGTTTCCCCCACTCCCGTCACGCTGCCCCCCCATCACACTGCCTCCCACCTGTCTTACTGCCCCCCCCCACCTGTCCTGCTGCTCCTGTCACATTGCCCCCCTCATTTCCCACTGCCCCCTACCTGTATAGCTGCCCCTCTCCTGTCCTGTTCCCCCCACCTATCCTGTTGCCCCACTCTTGTCCTGTTCCCTCCACCTGTCCTGTTGCCCTACTCTTGTCCCGTTACCTCCCTACTATCCCACTTACCCCTCCTGTCCCACTGCCCCCCTTCTGTTCTCATGCCTTCCACCTGTCCCAATGCCCCCCTCCTGTCCCGTCGTCCCCTTGTTATTCTGCCCCCATCATGCTGCTCCCCTTCTGTCCCTCTGCTTCCCCCTTCACCCTGCACCCCTCCTGTCCTGCTGTCCTGCTGTCTCCCGTCACACTGCCCCCCACCTGTCCTGCTGCCCCCACCCTTCCCACTGCCCTGTTGCTCCACTCTTGTCCTGTTACCTTCCTACTATCCCGCTTAACCCTCCTGTCCCACTGCCCCCCTTCTGTTCTCATGCCTTCCACCTGTCCCACTGCCCTCCTCCTGTCCTGTTGTCCCCCTGTCATGCTGCTCCCCTCCTGTCCCTCTGCTTCCCCTGTCATGCTGCTCCCCTGTCACCCTGCACCCCTCCTGTCCTGCTGCCCCCGTCACGCTGAGTATAACAAACATGCTTTACTGTATATACAGACTGATTTTACTGCTTAGTAACACTTTAACACTGGAATACTGGAGCACTGCTCTGACAGAAAGGAGGAGCTGAAGAAGGAGAGAGAAGCCGAGTACTAAATGTGGTCAGGAGAAGAGTAGAGAGCCAGGAGGAGGAAGGGCCAGAGTTCTCCCCCCCTCTAGTTTCTCCTTCCTGTTAGTTAATTATTGACTACTATGCCCCATGTCTGGGATTGATGCAGTCCCTACTCTGATTTTTATTTTTGGCTGTACAGGTTTTCAATCATGGAGGCTCTAGTAGGATGTGTTTCAGTGACCTATTAGAGACTATCCTCTCCCCTCTTCTAACACTCTGAGGATTTACTTTTCTTCCCTTGGGTAGTGTGGCTTTCCAGCTCGTTGGCTTTGGCACTATTGGGCCAACATACCCGTGATAATTTGTTGGAAAATGTAACTTTATGCTGATGAATTTGTGTATGGATGTTCCAAAGCAGCAACTGTTGACAAAATAAAGACTTTGGATAAGAATATATACACAGGGCTTTTGATTTTTGTCAGAGAATAGGTGCCTTCACTCATTCCCCATTCCCCGCATGAGAGTAGTAAAGCAGTGCACCTAGCATTTGCTGCCAAATGGTGGGTATGGCAAAACTACGCTAAGAGTGGGAGGACCCTAAACAGGCATGGTTAAATAAAACCTGAATTTAATCACTCTATCTACAAACACAGATGTTACTTGCCTTCTACCCACGCAATATACTTTAATTACTGTGCCATAAGCGAGTCTAGCAGATATGTACAACATTCAGCACAATCATTTAAAAAAAAATAAACTCTTCCATTACATATGCTTTACAGCAAGGGTGTCCAACCGTTTAACTTTCCTGGGCCACATTGGAAAACGGGAATTGTCTTGGGGCACACATAAAATACACTAACAATAAGGATAGCTTATGAGCAGAAAAAGTTGGGCAGGTCACAAGTAACAATCAATGATAGAGAAAATGTACCTACCGGAGTAATAAATCTTCATTTTTTTGTAATAATTATTAACCATTTGCCTTCCAGAGGATTTCTCCCTCCCCCTTCCTGACCAGGCCATTTTTTGCTATACGGCGCTGTGTTACTTTAACTGACAATTGCGCGGTCATGCAACGTTGTACATAAATTATATTTTTGTCCTTTTATCCCACAAATAGAGCTTTTTTCGGTGGTATTCAACCACTTGTGCGTTTATTTTTTTTGCGCTATAAACAAAACAAAGAGTAACAATTTAGATAAAATAAACAATATTTTTGATTTTTGCTATTAAACATGTCCAATAAAAAATGTTAAAAATCTAGTTTCATCATAAATTTAGCCCAAAATGTATTCTGCTACATGTCTTTGCTAAAAAAAAATCCCAAAACTTGTAAATTAATTGGTTTACATGAAAGTTATAGCGTCTACAAATGACGGTATATATACTGGGATTTTTATTTTTACTAGTAATGGAGGCGATCAGCGACTTATTGCAGGACTGCGGGACTGACATTGGAGAGGAACTGACTAACTGCCACTGACATCCCCAGTGACACTAATACAGTGATCAGTGCTAATAAAAAGCATTGACACTGTACTAATGACACTGAGTAGGAAGGGGTCAACATCTGGGGCGATCAAAGGGTTAACTGTGTGCTGTGTGTTTTAGATTGTGTGTTATGTGTGTTTTACTGTGTAGACAAGCTGCTGTACAGAGCAATAGAAATCAGCTTGTTCGTGCTTACAGGGTAGAGATCTTATTATTTACATACAGACCTCTCCCCTGTCAGCTCTGCCGACGATCACCGAGTCCCGGCTGAGAATCAGCGGCTGAGACCCAGTGACTGACATGCCGAGGAGCCAATAGCTGCACGGGTAGGGAAAATATACCAAACTCACATGTATATATATGCGATTTTGTGCATCCCTGCCACCCTGTAGAAGTATTTCTGCAGTCGGGAAGCGGTTAATATAAAAGTAAAAGAGGGCAACATAAAATGAGTGCAATATTTGAATTTAGTTTTTCATAAACTTACGCATCAATATCTGGTACAATGGATGTACTGTAGTAGCAATTCTCAATGAATTCTCAAGGTGCTCATCAGATATTTTGGTTCTAATTCTTCCCTTCGTGTGCTTCAATACTGAAAAAAGTAACTCAAAAATATTAAATAATAATAAATAAAATTGATGACATGATAGTGATAGTGAAGGGTGGGATATTTTTCTTTGGGAAAATAAAACTTTTAAAAGTCCTGTAAAGTCCAATAAAGAGACACTGTCAAATGTATTCGCTAAGTGTGCATTTTTACAAACCATTCTAAAAAAAATCAAGATTTTCACACCAAGGGTAAAATCGTGATACTTTGCTTGAAATAGCGTGATTTCAAAGCCTCTGGCCTGGTGTGATTTCATAAGCGGCTTGCCTGACATCTGTTTGATTTCATGTACAGATGTCAATGCAAGTTGCACCTGAAATCACCAAAAATAGCGCAGGAACTATTTTTAAAATTGGTGTGAAACTGTTTCAATGGTTCCATTGCCGACAATAGGGTGCGACTTGCCATGCGATTTTGTGTTGGTCCGTATTCGTTGCACACTTGGGCCGCAGGTTGGTCACCCCTGCTTTACAGCTTACCTTAATGAAAAACGTCATAATATAGCCAGTGACTACTTAGCAGACAGCAATTGTTGAGATAGAAATACTTTGGTTAGATATATTTATTGTAAAATAAAACATAGAGATTGCAGTGGCCAGGAGTTTGTCATACAGTATACTGTATATCTCAGCATACAGAGTGCAGCTGTCAGAAGTTTAAAATGTACAACAAAGTGCGGGGCTCAGGAGTGAACAATAATACATAGAATGCAGGGATCTGGCGTGTATAACGCACAGGGTGCAGGGTTCAGGATTGTGTATTAGCCAAAGCAGGGGCGGACTGACCATTCGAGCACTCGGGCACTGCCCGAGGGCACGGGGTCAGTAGGGGGCCCCATGCAATGCCCCTGGTACTTTTTATAGGCTTTTTTGGGTGTGCTTTGAGTGTGGGCAAGGACACAGGGGCCCCAAGATCCTCTTTTGCCCGGGGGCCCCATGAGTTGTCAGTCCACCCCTGAGCCAAAGTGCAGGGCTCAGGAGTAGCTAATGCCCAAAGTTCAGAGCTCAGGGCTATGAACTGCTCAGAGCGAGGGTTCATAAGTAGGTAAGGCCCGGAGTACAGGACTGGAAGAATGTAATGCAAAGGGCGCAGGGCTCAGAACTGAGTATTGCACAGGGTGCAAGACTTAGGAGTGCATATTGCAAAGAGTGCAGGACTCAGAAAAAAGTAACACTGGCCTGTGTGTCACAATCGCGGCGTCAGATCCCAGAGCTTCTCACCAAACTCGTGACCGAAGGGCTAGCCAATCTAAAACCGCGATGTGACGTGCGTAACAATGCCACACCCAGCTGCACCCTGCACAACGATTTTCCAGCTAACAGACCAAAATTGACGTACTGGCAGCCTGGGCGATTGTTACTGGGTCAGGTTAATTACGCAATTAACCCTTCACACTGCCACCACCTCCTTTTTATACAGAGAAAGAAGAAACTCGGCGTTATCAGCTATAATACTATAATGATTGAGATAATCGTCTGTATAAAACGGTCCACATGCCGGTTATACAGAGGTTTAAACAACCACAGTAGCGTCTCTTTAGAGGCAGGAATTCGTGAATTGCAATACAGAGCTATAGAAACAGTTCAACACTTTCAGAAAGAAAGATTTATTACTAAAAGGTCAAACAGGACCAACAAAAATATTTACAGAACAAAGATGTAACTTAGATATATATATAAATATACAAAGTACCATAGCACAGCAAAGAGGTATCAGAGAGAGGTGAAAGGGTTAAAGTACTTGCCAAAGTCCTGGGTTAGCAGATCCAAGTTCAGAGCAGAAGGGTGCTTTGTTACGATGGAAAAAATGGGAGAATTTCTTCAACTTAACTAATTTTAGGCCTGACAGCCCAATTTGTAGTTCCCAGCAGGGGGTGTTGCTGAAGTCAAAGGACCAATACCCCGTTTGGGAGGGAACGTCTGGGCGTAGGCCTAAACTAAGCCAAAATCTTTCATAACTCATATTTTGGCCCATAACTTCCCATCTGCACAAGTGACATTCCACCCGCGGGTAGATTATTATGCAGACAAGTCCGAGGATTGATTAGATATGAATTACCGTATTTTTAGTTCCATAAGACGCACTTTTTTCCCTCCAAAAAGAGGGGGGAAATGTCAGTGCGTCTTATGGAGCGAATGTAAAGCGGCCGGTCCGGTATTTCTGCCGCCACCATGTCGAAATATCAGGCCGGCCGCTCAGCTCTTCTTTCCTGCAGGACCCTACCTGTTCCTCGCTCCAGCGCTGCAGTCTTCCCGCGGCGGCTTCTGTGACAGCCGGGTGCCCACTGCACATGCGCGAGAAGCGCTGCGCTTTGTGAATGGTCCGGCGTCTTCTGGGACACATGACAGGTCCCAGAAGGCTCCGGGCCATTCACAAAGCGCAGCGCTTCTCGCACATGCGCAGTGGGCACCCGGCTGTCACAGAAGCCACCGCTGGAAGAAGAAGGAAGGACAACTCAGCGGAAGTGGGAGCGGGTACCTGTCAAATTCAGGTACCCGCTCCCCCTCCCTCCCCAAAGGTCCGCAGTCACTGGTCATCTCCTGTACTGTGTCTGCAGTCTCTGGTCATCTGTACTATGTCCCCAGTCTCTGGTCATCCCCTGTACTGTGTCCGCAGTCTCTGGTCATCCCCTGCACTATGTCCGCAGTCTCTGGTCATCTCCTGTACTGTGTCTGCAGTCTCTGGTCATCTCCTGTACTATGTCCGCAGTCTCTGGTCATCCCCTGTACTGTGTCCGCAGTCTCTGGTCATTTCTTGTACTGTGTCTGCAGTCTCTGGTCATCTCCTGTACTATGTCCGCAGTCTCTGGTCATCTCCTGTACTGTGTCTGCAGTCTCTGGTCATCTGTACTATGTCCGCAGTCTCTGGTCATCCCCTGTACTGTGTCTGCAGTCTCTGGTCATCTCTTGTACTGTGTCTGCAGTCTCTGGTCATCTCCTGTACTGTCCGCAGTCTCTGGTCATCTCCTGTACTGTCTGCAGTCTCTGGTCATCTCCTGTACTGTGTCTGCAGTCTCTGGTCATCTCCTGTACTGTCCGCAGTCTCTGGACATCTCCTGTACTATATCCGCAGTCTCTGGTCATCTCCTGTACTCTCCGCAGTCTCTGGTCATCCCCTGTACTATGTCTGCAGTCTCTGGTCATCTCCTGTACTGTCCACAGTCTCTGGTCATCTCCTGTACTGTCCACAGTCTCTGGTCATCTCCTTTACTGTCCGCAGTCTCTGGTCATCTCCGGTACTATGTCCGCAGTCTCTGGTCATCTCCCGTAGTATGTCCGCAGTCTCTGGTCATCTCCTGTACTATGTCCGCAGTCTCTGGTCATTCCCTGTACTATGTCCGCAGTCTCTGGTCATCTCCCGTAGTATGTCCGCAGTCTCTGGTCGTCTCCTGTACTGTGTCCGCAGTCTCTGGTCATCCCCTGTACTGTGTCCGCAGTCTCTGGTCATCTGTACTATGTCCGCAGTCTCTGGTCATCTGTACTATGTCCGTAGTCTCTGGTCATCTGTACTGTGTCCGCAGTCTCTGGTCATCTCCTGTACTGTGTCCGCAGTCTCTGGTCATCCCCTGTACTGTGTCCGCAGTCTCTGGTCATCCCCTGTACTATGTCCGCAGTCTCTGGTCATCCCCTGTACTGTGTCCGCAGTCTCTGGTCATTCCCTGTACTGTGTCTGCAGTCTCTGCTCATCCTCTGTACTGTGTCCGCAGTCTCTGGTCATCTCCTGTACTGTTTCTGCAGTCTCTGGTCATCCCCTGTACTGTGTCCGCAATCTCTGGTCATCTCCTGTACTGTGTCCGCAGTCTCTGGTCATCTCCTGCACTATGTCCGCAGTCTCTGGTCATCTCCTGTACTCTGTCCGCAGTCTCTGGTCATCCCCTGTACTGTGTCCGCAGTCTCTGGTCATCCCCTGTACTGTGTCCGCAGTCTCTGGTCATCTCCTGTACTGTGTCTGCAGTCCATTAGTTCAGAATATTTTTTTTCTTGTTTTTCTCCTCCAAAACCTAGGCGCGTCTTATGGTTAGGTGCGTCTTATGGAGCGAAAAATACGGTATGTAATTCTATACTGAACGGTTCACGAGATCTATTTTTCTGTTTTCCTGTGTATGCGAGATGAGTTGAGTGACCCATCAAACTGTTCGTCTCCTTCTAGCCAATCTGACGGTATGTCTGGTTTTTATGTAAGTTTCTCATATTCCAAGATATAAGACATATGGGAAAAATTGATTTTGAGGAGTGTTATCTGATTCTGTCACCTATGCTGCATTAGGTTCATTAGATCAGAATCTCTTTCAACTCCTGAGAAAACTTGAAAGAAAAGAACAAACAAGGGAGCACTCTCATCGTGCATTACCGTGGTATACCACGTGTTTAATGAATAGACAAATAGATATATACTCACAAACCAACGATAAAAGCAGTGTGTGTGGTCCACAACAACAGTCACAAATGGCTGTGTCTAATGATGCGGATAAGTTGACGCGTTTCTGGAGCTGAACCCCTTCCGAGCTCCCGAAACGCGTCAGTTTATCCGCATCATTAGACACAGCCATTTGTGACTGTTGTTGTGGACCACACACACTGCTTTTATCGTTGGTTTGTGAGTATATATCTATTTGTCTATTCATTAAACACGTGGTATACCACGGTAATGCACGATAAGAGTGCGCCCTTGTTTGTTCTTTTCTTTCAGTGGTTATATTTCCCGATCTTTGAAGGGCAGCACCTCTTCATTTGGCATTCTGTCATTTTCCTGGTTTGCATGAGGATTGGAGCGCTGGTTTTGTTTGTTTATCCTGAGAAAGCTTGTCTTATCTCTTCCGAGGTGGGAAATGGCACAGGTTCTTGGGACAGTGAGGCACCTCATGGCTCCCTGCTGGGATCTGGCCTGTAGCACTTTTAACACACACACATCTGTCACTGTGCCCTCTCAGAGTGAGAGGGGGGGAAGAATGAGGGAATAACATGGCAACTCTTAACAAAATGGCAGACTGCGTCAGTTTCTGGTGCGCACGTTTGCGACACCTCCCCCTCAGGTGGTTGCATGGGAGAGAACTACAAGTTCCCTCCTGACGCAACCGACCTCTGCCCAGAGGTTCGCCTTGGGTCGACCTGGTACCGCTGCACTGCGGGAGGACCAAGTTCCGTCTGAAAAGGAATCTTTTCTCCCCGGCAACACTGTTGTGGCAATCAAGTGAGTGGTCACGGGTGGGCACCGGTCGGCTGTAGCTATCCGAATACCGTGGCGACTGCTGGGATGCCCACCTGTTCACAAAACACTTCGGCTCAGGGGTGTCACCTGCTAACATATTAATATGTAGCTTCTTGTCGAGGTAGAGAAGGAGATTTCCTTCTCCGATCTTCTTCCTCAGGCCTATAACACACCTGGCCTTGAGGTAGTGGCGCCTGTGTGCACCGGAACCGGACAGGCAAATTCTGGAACTCGCCTCCCAGATGTGTCCACAGGTACCTTCATCCAAGATGAACAGGCCTCGTTACCTGCTAGCATCCAGGACACCAGTTCCTCCAGTTTCTTGTCCGCTAGGTCATTCACAGGTCCAGCAGAGCCATGATAGTCGCACCCAGGCGTCTTACCGTAGCCAGCTGCACCCACGACTAACGTAACCTGCTTTTTGGCCTGGGGAGCAGACCAGGCCGCCATTGCCTCAGTCTCCCCATTCCCAGACCTCTGGGGGTCTCTTCCTACCGGTGGTTCCCAAAACTGAACCACTGACATGCCCCTCTGACAGTTACCATTCTCAACTGTCAGACTAGGCATGGGCCGTTTGTTCCTGACTAGGGACAGGGGCCCAAGTTGTTCTTCCCAGACAGTGCCGAACACCGCAAGGCCCCTAAAGTGGGCAACTGCACCCAGTTCCACTCCGCATTGCAGGTCATTCCTGACCTCTGGAGAGGTGGTTGGTGCGTTCTCAACCCCAATTAGCTTTCCCGTGAATTCAGGCAAGCCACATGGGGCGGTGAAGGCTGACTCGTCCTGAGCCTCTTGGGTTAGAGATGGTGGCCCGTACTCCCTGCTCAGGTCCATGATGGTTAAACAGCAGGC